TTCAGAAGACCTGCAGGTGCTTTCATGTCTCCTAGATAAGCCCCCTTAACCTGCCGCTCCTCCCCCACCCCCAGGGAAAATGTCAGACAAGCCCAGCTGGTCCACTGTGCCACCCAAGGCCTCGCTGTCCCATGAGCTGTGGAAGGGGCTGCAGGTGCCCAGGAACACGACAGCCCCCCCGCGCCCCCCTCCAGGCCTGGCTAATGCCAAGCCCTCCTCTGCATGGGGGGGCAGCGGTCTGGGCCTGCCGGTGGGATGGAGCACCACCTCCTACTCAGGTATGCCCCCAGGAGGACACCTCCCACTCAGCAGCCATGATGATTTTCTTTTTTTTTTTTTTTTGCTTAACTGTGAAGGGGTTTAAAACAGCAACGCATAACTTACAGCTAGTTAAGGAGAAGCATGTGTTTTAGAGAAATACTTCAGGTGAAATCCTTAATCAGGTTAAGTTGTATGAGTATGTGTGTACAGCGTAGGGTTTGCAGTGTGCAGTTTCAATGAACACCTTCTTGTCAATATCCACTAAACAGCCCATAGTGTATGGCTGAGAAGTCCTGACTCTGTCTTAGTTATGTGTTAACTAGTCTGTTTTCATTAACTACCTGGGGCTCCCAGTCCAGCACAAGCGAATCGCTTAGTGAGATAAATGCACTGACACTGCAGTGAAGTATTAATGCAGCACATACACATACACATGCAGTGCATTTACAGTGGTGTGTTTGGGCTGGCATGGCTGCTGGGCGCAGCTTTGTTTGCTCAACACCTCCAGGGTAGCCTGGCTGGGGGGGTGGAGGTGTTAGTTTCAGCGAGGGGGGGCCGAGCCTTGTAGGTGTGGTCAAATGCATGCCTGGATTGAAACTCCTGTGGCTTACCAGATCTGGGTGGGGGGGCGCCGTCAGTAAGCGCAGGTGGTGGGGGCTGCCGACGAGGGAGGGGGCTGTCAGTGATGGTGGGTGGGGGGGGGTGCTGTTGGCAAGCGTGGCAGAGGGTGGGGGGGTGTCTGCAAGCACAGTAGGTGGGGGGGCCTGTTAGCGAGCGTGGCGGGGGGGGGGGGGCATCAGCGAGCGGGGGGGGGGGTGCCACTCTGAGCGGAGCTGTGTTCCCTCCCCCAGCAGGTAGCAGCTGGGGTTCAGACAGCTCGTCCAGAACAAGCAGCTGGTTGGTGTTGAGGAACCTGACCCCCCAGGTACGCTACCCCCCCCCCTTCTCCAGTCAGGCGGATAATAAGATGGCAGCTCAGCGAGTGCTCGGTCTCACCGTCTCCTCCCCCCGGTGGGCTGTCTCCCGTCTGCTCCGCAGATCGACGGCTCCACCCTGCGCACACTCTGCCTGCAGCACGGTCCTCTGCTGACCTTCCACCTCAGCCTGAGTCAGGGCAGCGCCGTCGTGCGCTACAGCTCCTCCGAGGAGGCCGCCAAGGCCCAGAAGTCCCTGCACATGTAGGCCACGCCCACCCCGTCTTCCTGCCCTGCTATTGGCCCAATGTTATATTTGGAGGAAACTTTCACAGATATTTCAAAGAGAACTAGGAGAACAGGGTGCTTTTGAGCACAAAGCACTTCAGCACAAAACATTCATTTCAATTCAATTACATTATTCATTAATGATAATGAAGATACCTGCATATTAATGTTTTTTGTGTGGTTTATCTGGTTGTATGTGTGTTTTACCCCTTTTCACAGAGCTGTTCAATTAAACGAATTATCTCGTCTTTGTCTGCTAATGCAGGTGTGTTCTGGGGAACACCACCATCCTGGCCGAATTTGCCGGTGAGGAGGAGGTGAATCGCTTCTTTGCACAAGGCCGCTCGCTCACACCACCAGCGTCCAATCAGGGGCGGCTAGGGCTGGCGGGGGCGGGGCCATCGCACAGCACGGGCCAATGGAGTGACGGCCGGGTCGAGGCTTCTGACAGCGGAAGTGGCGGATCTGGCACAGACCTTCTGTGGGGAGGGGCCCCCTCCCAGTATTCCAGCCTATGGGGAAGCCCCAGGCGGGAGGATGGCGGGCTCATTGGCAGCCCTGCTCCAATCAGTACGCTGCTTCCTGGGGACCTGCTGAGTGGAGAGTCCTTGTAGGAGTCAGATCAAGTCAGCTTCAGAGGAAGGTGGTCGGCTAATAGTAGGATCACCGGGCCTCTTCTGATTGGTTGCCACCCTCATCTGATTGGTGAGCAGTATCCCTCTGATTGGTCAGCAGTCTGTTGCACAGCCAGCCATTCCTTCCATGACGTCATCAGAGGATGTGATGTGACCTCGCTGAGGCCTGTAATTTTCCCTTGGCTTTCCCTGATCAGCCTGACCTGTGGTAGTTTATGGTCTTTTATTTGTTTTTTTTTCGTTTGAAGAACTGATCTGAACTGCTGTTAAAAACCAACCTTTGACCTCCTTCCCTCACACAGCAGGAAACAATAGAAATTGTTCCAAAACACTCAGCCTGTTCTATTGTTTATTTCTGTGCCGCAGTATTGGCCTTAAATGATCTCACGCTTTTGGTCTTTCATACGATTTTATACTGACTTGAGACTTGAGAGACTCTTGGACAAATCGCACAGTTTCGTCTGAGGCAACAATCGTTGTATGGAACCCAAAGGACAACATCGCCCCCCGCAGGCCCGGAGGTCTTTGTGTCCATGACTCTCGAGCACTGACACCGGCGTCTGTTCTGAATGTTTATTCGATTTGCATATGTCGCTCCCATAAGGATATTCTCCGGATGCCGTCGGTTTGGCTGAGGGCCCGTTGATGTTAATCACTGCCTTGCTGATCTGTTAAAAAAAAAAAAACAAACAAAAAAAATCCCACTGCAGTGCCAGCACCTTGCTGGTGGACACACTGCTGTTGGCCGTTACTTTCCCATCAGCTCACATGCTGCCATATTCCTCAAGAAATGTCACCTTCGGTTCATGTGCAATATATTCCAGAGTCTTCACCAATATCCTCGAAGGAAGATCCGAAGATTCGTGTTAATACAGACTCTGCAGGCTTCTCCACGAACCTGCAACGCCTTCGGCCATTTCTGCTTTTCGATGAATACGAGGTAATCGTTACCCCTGTAATTACATCATAGCACTTACCCTGGAACACAGCCCCAGCTGATGGGCAGAGGAGGTTCCCACGACGCGCTTTTCAGCCTTCTGCTCCCAGTCTCGCTTGCTTTTCCGGGAGCAGATAGAGGGCGCTAGTGGGGGACTTGGATGTACGTGACAGAGTCACGGTGAAATGTGACAGTCGTGGTCGACTTTTTTTTTCCCCAGTGTTTTTGGTCACTGGATTTCTTACACACTATTTCTTACACCCCCACCCCCGAAGCTGGTTTAATTTGTTTCTGCTCTGTGCTGTTTTAGAGACTTTTAAAGAGGAGGGTCCAGCATGTCACTGTCTCTATGCCAGTGTTTCTCCAGTGACCCCCGGACAGTCTATGTTTTTGCTGTCTGGTAAGGAAGCTGAGAGGGAGCAAAAACGTGGACCGGCCGGAGGTAGCGAAATGCTGCTCTATGCAATGGTTAAGATATGTACGACGAGCACTTGTCTGACCCCTGTTGAAGGTCAGCCCCGCCTCGGACGGGACAACAAGCCAAACTGTCATCAGCGTGTGCCCCCACTTCAGGAGCGATGCCGCTCCTGAGGAAATGCACCCCCACAATACCCGCTCCGTCTCGATGGCAGGGTAGCGCCAATAACGAACTTTATCTCTCGAAAAGCAGTGACACTGATTTCCTGTTTTATTTTCTTCCTGTGACTCCCCTCGTGTGGTTAAGCAGGGTTTCAGAAGTGCATGACCGTTTCACTGAACATCTCGATGGCTTGCACACTTACTGGTGACCGGAGAAAGAATCCCAGCCGTTGCTACCTCACTTGTGTGTTTCCTTCTGTGACTTTGGATTTACTGATATCAAAAGTGGTGAAGGCAGTTAGTGACTGTCCTTGTTTTTCTCTGTAAAGTGTGTCATACCCGTAACGCCCCACCCATCACGGAACGTTTGTAGGGCTCCAGGAAATGTAGTGGGGGGTTGTCTTGGGTGGGGGACCTTTAGGGAATGATATCAACACTGACTCTATTTTCAAAGCGAGGTTCATAGCCTGCATTCTGAAGCTTGGGTTTCATGCAACACAAACGCCGAAATCACTGTTGCCCTTCTCAAACGTTTGTCTTGCAGGACCTTCTCCCGAGGTTGCCCCCCTCCTGCCCCCATGTTGGGCACGGGCCTCAAAAATGGTTTTTCCCATTACGCGCATATTAAAAGAAAACACATATCAACAGAAAAACTGATTTAAAAAAAACAAAACATACTTGAATCTAACAAAGCAACATTACTGTAATGTGAAGTTTTTCTAACAGTTTTTTCTCTCATTCATAATCTTCCAGGTTTTTATATATAAAAAAAAATACAATAATAGACTAACAAATCTTTGGGGGAAAAATGCTGAATGACACTGACGTCACGTGAGTGTTTGCACATTTTTGTGTGTGCTTATTCGAGACGTGAGAATCGACTGTGGATGCCACGCTGTGTTCGTGTGACGGACTTTACCGGCGATCCTCGAGCCCGGCTCCGCACTCAATCTGTGCTTCCCCTCAATCGGCTCCCCGGCCCAAATGACACACGGCACTCGAGGTGGGGGGGGTGGGGGTTTTGGCGGCCATCTTTGCTTGTCTCTGTTTACTCAAGGACAGTGACGTTCTCGCAGAATCTGCCAGATGTTTTACCTTCTACCTTGCTGTGGCTTTCCTGGCAGAATAATTCCAGAAAAGGTCGCGACTCTGATGAATGCATTTTACAAAAAGAATACACAAAAGATCAATTTTTTTTTTTAAAAAAAAGGACTTTGGTGAAAAGTGGCAATAGACTAGATGGACTTCAGCTCTCCATGTCTGAGGACACGTGACAAGAAGACTGTAGGAGCCAGGCTTGTAATGAAACTCCATTCAGTGGTGCCTACCTTAGTGTTTTGTTTGTTTGTTCAACATATCTTTGCAAAGGCCACCTGTTGTTTACAAACGTTTGGTATTTCTAACATTCAAGGAAAGAGATTTTATGACGGGAACGGTTGAAAAATAAACAAGTTCTCTTCCATCAAATAAAAACACTATACAAGAAGGTTATTGTGCTAATTTCAGAACTCTGGGAATGATTCATGTCGTATGTCAGTGTTACTGTTAATCATCTTTAATAGCCTCTCTGAGCTGTACATTTTTTTTTTTGGGGGGGTGGGGGGGGGAGTTTAAATTCCGCATTGCTTGCACAGAGGAAAAAAGTGGACGTCTCAGGAAAAAGTTCCAGAGTACAAACTCCACGCCATTAATTTTTATAATTTAAAAAAATATCAAAATTTAAAAAAAGGTAAAGAAACTGAATAAAAGATGCTAAATTGTTATGTTTACCAAATATTGGATTTAAAAAGTGACGTGACTGCTTTTGTATAAAATCTATGTAATAAAACTGCTTTAAATTTTTAAATCACTAGTTGGCGAAAACTCGGTGGCTGTACATTTTAAATTCATTATGAGGTACTTCCTGTCAAACTAGGAGTTTGTGCATTAATATTTCTCGCCTTTGTCATTCTTCCTCATGTGGCAGATAATTCAATGACAGAATTGTCTTTTTGGGATGCACTTCAAAAAAAGGGAAAAAAACCTGTGTGGTTTGTCACGTTAAACAGCTCACGATCTATGCACAGCGGTTAGGGTTCGAGGGGCGGGGCCTTTCTAGATGCTAACGGCATGTTAGCCCCGCTTTCCGCTCCATTGTAGTTTCTCTTGTTGGCCTCTATGTTAGGTTACCATGCTGTATATTCCAAAACCAATGAGTCTCCGTCTACATGGTGCCGAGGTTGTTTGTATTATCACATGTGATCAAAGTGTCATATCTCTACTTTCTGTGGGAAATGGGGAGGGTCGCCTTTAAATTTTTACTTTGACTGTATCAAAATAGTGTTTTTCTTCATATTACCTAAAATGGTGTGGTTCATGTCAACATGCAGCAAAGAGATTAATGAACTGTGGAACTTCTCTCAAACGATTAATAAATTAGCTGTTTTTTTGTTTTTGTTTTCCCAGTTCGTTTTTGTCGACGCCCAGATTTTGCTTTTCGCCAGTTTCAAATTTGACGTTGGCTGCAAAGCGTTGGAAAGGCGGGGCTGACGAGAATTCGGATGATTTTATTGTAGCCAGTAGTTCATTGTGCTGTCAGTGAAAGACTGAAAAGACACAGAAATAGAGGAAAATCAGTAACAAAACAATCTAGCTATTAAAGAAAAAAACTTGACGTGATGCTAGCTCCTAATAAAAATAACTATAGAAGAATAAAAAAACACTATAGAAGTCTGATTCTGGACACAGATGCAGATGACCCAGTCCATTAGCATGCTAACTACAAACACACAGCCTGCTGTCTAAAGGGAATCTGGCCTCTGTGACCCTCAACAAGGCAGCAGTCACCTGACCTCCCCAAGGAGACTGAGGAGCCTGATCCAGCCGACTCAAGGTAGCTGTTATGTGGCTCATGCAGTCATCCATGTCCTCAGAGATGAAGCAGCCGAGGTTCGGCTATGTAAGTAATAGGATGCCAGTCTGGCTTGATAAATTTCTTCAGCGAATCCTCAGGTTCTTTTAGACGAATGATGAGGCAGGTTCCTTAAGCTTAAGCAGTTTATTAAGACAGAATGAAGATGTTACAGGAAGATGTTTCACACGGCCGGTTCAGTGTCAGTCTGCGTCTGTCTCTGCCCCCCCTGAGGGAAGCAGCCCCTTTATCTATGGTCTTCATACAGACTCCTGGAGCCGGGGGGGTCAGACGGCCTTGGTGAGAGCAAGTTGTATGAGAGGCAAAGAACATGATGAGCAAGTAGCAAGGAGAGAAAGAAATATAAAAATATGAAATATGAAAGCTATAAATGAATGAACTAAATGAACATAATTAAATAACTACAAATTAACAAGGGAAACCCCTCAGGCTTAAAGAGGGGGACGTGTTCTGGCCTCTTGGGCTCCGTGGCTTTGTGAAGCACGGCGGACGCGGCGCTTGTGAATGCCCATCATGTCCTCGTAGACGGGAGCCTCCGCTTGCTGCCTGCAGCAGCACGTTCTACCCTAAAAAGACAGTTTGTCATGCACGTTTCGCTACTGCTGCAGTTTCCGGAGGTGGATAATTCAGGTCCAGAAAGTAAAAATCCAGACCAAAATTTCATTCCAACCAACCAGCTGAGTACTCTGTGACTGTGACTCCTTATACTCAACTGGTTGGCTGAATCAAAATCTTGGGCTGGATTTATATCAGATCTGAACTTTACTTTCTGGAGCTGAACTGTCCACCTCTGGGAGTTTCCATGAGCATATTTCGATTGAACAATCAAACATGCTGCCTTTGACATCACAAGCATGAAGACATAATTTTTCCACGACCGGGCCCCTTGAGTAGTGTAGGAACGCCCAGGTATCGGTACCGCAGAGTAAATCAGCTGCGTACTCACAAACTTCATGAGTCCAGACCCCATGGCGGTGAGGAAGAGGAAGACCGCTGCCCCACAAATGATGTACAGCAGTAGAGGATAGCGCAAGCAGTGGCAGCCTACGAAGTAAAAAAAAAATAATTACTGCGAATCCCAAGCCCAGCTCTGTAGATAGGTGTCACCTTGAAGCCTATCTCTCCTCATACATGGCCCACCTGTCACTTCCACGGAGACGAAGACTTCCGTGCTCCCAAGCACAGTCACGCCCGAGTGGTTGAACTCGCAGAAATAGACGCCGGTGTCTGTGTGCCGCAGCCGGGACACGGTGATATTGACCGGGCCGGCACCCGGCCCCCCGTGGGCATTCACGCGGCCCAGGTACTGGGGGGTCTCGGACATCTTGCCGTCGGTTGAGATGGAGGCCACGTGTCTCTCGGGGTGGGGGAACTTGTGCTTCAGGTACAAGCCCACGGCAGTGGACCCCGACTGTTCAGACTCACAGCGAATGTCCAGCGACTGGCCTTCTAGCCTCTGGATGTAAATTACAGCTCTGGAGCCTAAACATGAGATGACTATTAGGAGAGATATACCTCTAACCCCTTATACAGGACACCAAGGGGGTTCTGGGACGGTGGGGGGGGGGGGGGGGGCAATGCGCCTTTGACAACATGCATGACCCCCCCTGTGCCCCCACCCCCCTTAATATATACACTATTTGGATCTGATATAAATGTAATATTATTACTATCATTATTTACATTAATATATGTGGGCTAAAATCTTGTGCACTGGGAAGAGGCGAAACACAAACGTAAACAGATTTTCGTAACAGACTCAAAGCTGGGTGGTCGACTTGCCGCTGGTGAAAAGCGAAGTTGTGATCCCACTTTACAATAAGGCTACCCTTATAAAGGGCTTATGAATGCTTTATAATCTGGTTATTAATTAGGTTGTAACACTTTGTAAATTATTAATAGTCTATTTAAAACTTAATTTTTTAACTTATAACACAGTTTTCTTTTTATTATTGAGTTTCTGCCATTTGCAAGTGACGACAGGAGCCTTATTGTAAAGTGGAACCAAAAAAATAAAGTCTTCAGGTCTAAACAAGAAATGAGTGAGTTACGTATTTGTGAAAATTGTAAAATGTGACTGCAAAGCATTGCATAAATAACTTATTGGTTTTCAAAATTGTATTTTGCTTCTAAATGCTGACAATCTAGTGTAAATAATACCTTGAAGACATTAAAGTCAAATATATCTGATGCAATTGCATTTCGGGAGGCAATTTCTCAGGCAAGTACTCAGAGGAAGAACGCACAAGACCGGGAGAACAAGCAGGGGGAGAACATTCATTTTAAAATTTCGTAGCGTATCTGAGAATGCCACAGAAGTTAATATATTTTAGAGATATTTTGTTACTATTTGCCTAAATGATACTTAAGCTTTGGTTTTACCTCAACGAGAAAAACACTCAAATACTTACCCAAAATAGGCATTATGAGAAATATCCACTCAGCAAAATGTAGCATCATTTTCAAATGAATTATTTATAATTATGATACGTGTATTGCAGATAGGAGCCCGCACCTCCGGGCAGGCGGCGGTATGCTCGCGATCTTCTCTCACGCAGGAAGCGCTGATGCACGACATCTAGCTCGGTTTTTGGTGCGGCTGTATACTCAGTCACTCAGTGGGCGGCAGAGACACCCCTCTTACCACCAGGGTAGGTGGTTTCCCATCTGATTGTTTTATTTTTAGTGATATTAGCGGAACCTTTGTATTGTTTAAAACATGTTTGCCAACGCTCCCGCTTTCCGACTCTCACGCAAACGAGCCGAATGGCCCCCTCTCGTTTGTAAATTTCTTATGTTCTAAGAAATCTTATGGTAAATATATATATTATTCCGTTATAAACCTAAAATTAGCTACATCAAAAGCGTTGGGGTAGTTTGCAAAGCATACGAACTATTTACGAGGCAATAAAATCGTTACATACGTGTAAATGAGTGTGCATGTGTGTGCACGCCAGCCAGCTGACCAAAGTTGACAACTATGTTAAAATACAACTTCTTAGTCTGAAAATGCAGACGGAAAAGACCAGTGAAGGGAGAACATTACTAACATTAATAACATTATTATTTATTGGGCTGAATCTCTCAGGAGCCCGATAAGGATAAATAGTAAATAGATAGATCAGGGATGGCCAGTCTTATCCGCGAAGGGCCGGTGTGTACGCAGGTTTTTGGGATAAACCCAGGTGTGAGGACTCTTCAGCCAATCAGTCCTCTAATTAGTGACACCTTGAAGCCTATCTCTCCTCATACATGGCCCACCTGTCACCTCCACGGAGACGAAGACTTCCGTGCTCCCAAGTCACGGAGCCGAGTGGTTGAACTCGCAGAAATAGACGCCGGTGTTTTGCAGCGAAAACCCGCACAAGATTGGCCACCCCTGAGATAGATGGGAGGGGCTGAGTCCACCACCCCATAATCAGAACTAAATTTATAGAATTTGCCACAAGGTGGCAATATTGCTAAATATTTTTCATGGTGGGGTGTCAAGTGAGGGACGATGTCCAGAGCTGAGATATCCGTGAAGGAAGGCCTACAGCCCTACTATCTTTACAGCAGGGGTCTCCAACTCTGGTCCTGGAGAGATACTATCCAGTAGGTGTTCTATCATACCGGCTTCTGATGAGCCACACCTGTTCCTGGTATTTACCTGAGCCCAGGTGTGATTCATCAGAAGCCGGTATGATAGAAAACCTACTGGATGGTATCTCTCCAGGACCGGAGTTGGAGACCCCTGGTATATAGGCTACATCCATTTTCTAAACCAGGGCTCTTCAGATCTGGCCCATTTTCAAAAAAGGGGATATAAGTAATTTGTCAAACTATAGGCCAATCAGTATATCTTGTATAACTGGTAAAGTTATGGAGGCTATAATCAAAGAGAAAATGGTAGATTACCTGGACTAGGTAAGGTTAGTTGAGCTAAATCTGTTCAGCCTCAAGCAAAGGAGACTGAGGGGGGACATGATCCAGGTCTATAAGATTCTAACAGGTTTGGATGCTGTTCAACCAAATAGTTACTTCAGCATTAGTTCAAATACAAGAACTCGTGGCCATAGGTGGAAATTAGCAGGAGAACATTTCAAACTGGATTTAAGGAAGCACTTCTTTAGACAGCATGTAGTCAGAGTATGGAATAGTCTTCCTGATAACGTAGTGCAAGCTGAATCCTTGGGTTCCTTTAAATCTGAGCTAGATAAGATTTTAACAACTCTGAGCTATTAGTTAAGTTCTCCCCAAGCGAGCTCGATGGGCCGAATGGCCTCCTCTCGTTTGTATAGTTCTTATGTTCTTAAGGGCCGAGTGTGCTGCAGCGCATGCGGCAAGACCTTCTATGGCAAGGGAACCCTGAAGATCCACTACAATGCTGTGCACCTGAAGATCAAGCACCGCTGCACTATCGAGGGCTGCAACATGACGTTCAGCTCCCTGCGCAGCCGCAACCGGCACAGCGGCATCCCTAACCCCCGACTACACATGCCCATGCTGAGGACCTCATCTGCTCCAGCGTTGGCTCTGGCACATCTGTCATCTCCAGCACCAAAAGCAGTTTGACTCTGACCAGCCCGGGACGGCCACCTCTTGGCTTCACTACCCCATCGCTCGAGCCCATGCTGCAGTCTCCCCTGCAAAGTTCTCTGATCTTCCCGTCCTTGAAATCAGTCCAGCCAGTACAACCGGTACCCCCATTCTATCGTGCGCTGTTGTCCCCTGGGGATCTTGTCAGTTCACCGGTCTCCCTGCCCACCAGCTCCCTCCGGCCTCTAACAGCACGTCTCTCATCGAGCAGCAGGCCTCGGCCCCTGGCTCCCACAATCCTCTAGTGGCAGAGGCAGGGCTTGTCAGCCACAAGCTGCCTGGTACTGGCATCCAGGAACATTTTGTTGACCCCACACCCAAGAAGAAGCCCCGCAAATCCAGCATGCCAGTGAAAATTGAGAAGGAGGTCATCAGCGTGGCTGATGTGTTCGACGACAAAGAGGAGGAGGAGAAGGAGGAGGAGGAAGGGGGCAGGGTCCTGAATGGAATGACTAGCACCCAGGGATGCCACCATCCACATTCCCACCATTACAACAACGGCAACCACAGTGGGGGCAGCAGCCAAGCATCTCCCAGCCGGGATGAGGTGAGCCCTGGGCTGGCACTGAGGAGCATTCTCCAGCTGGAGCAGGATGAAGCTCCGACTACCAGCGAGAGGTGGAGGGGGCCAGCGAAGGGGAGGGTGGCTCAAACAGGGCAGACTGGGTGAGGGGTGGTGCCATGTAGGGGTTCCCAGAGCTGCCGGGCCAGGGGGTCGACCCGAGTGCTGTCCTGTGCATGCTGTGCCACAAACCATACAGCTGCAAGGGCACTCGCTTCAAGATGGTACATCTGCGCCAGATGCAGCGCCGCAAGGTTCCGGGCTGCAGCCTCACATTTTCCTCGACGCGGAGCTGCAACCAGCACAGCCAGAACCCCAGCCTGTGCCGGCACGTGGCCGAATGACTGCCCCCCACCCCCAGGCCTCTTACTTTCACTCTGTACTTGTGGAAGTCTCTAGAGATGCTTGGATGGGTAGCTCTGCTGCTGCTGCGTCCCTGTGGCCCCAACACGTCCTGCCGCTTCCATGGAAACCCTCGTCCATGCTGAAATGCTTGTGGGTCCCAGATACAGAGAATGTGTGGCTCCTGAGCTGATGACCCGATTTTCTGCTTTCCATTTGAAACAACTATTGAGTCTTAGCGCAATAGCAGATAAGCAGAGTAATATTAATCTCTGCTTTTAGCTCTCGTAAGAGCAGCCCAAGTGCTGTCCAAGGTATTGTTCAGAGAGAGATCTCTGAAGTGTTCCCAGGGAGTGATCTCTGGGGTGTTCCCAGGGAGTGATCTCTGGGGTGTTCCC